ATCTTGGGTCACTTAATGAAACGACGTAGTTTTGAGGCAAAACTACGTCATTTCAGACCCTTTCAAGGGCAGCCCCTTATCTTGCACTTCTAGCCACTTTCTCTTTCAAATTTGGCCCAATTTATTTCTTAATCCTACTTATTAAACTAAATTTATACAAATAAATAAATTAATTAATTTATTCAAATGGTCAATTAACTAGATTAATTCACCAACTGAATAATTAGTTAATTCCTAAAATGCACAAATAAAGAAAGAATTATTTTTTAGTATTTTTATGATAGGAAATATGCAATCAGAGACACAAAAATTGGAAAAAATAATTAAAGCAACAAACTTTAGGAGGTGTTAAAACAATACAAAAATTAGGTATTCACACAGGCGATTGCCAAACATCGGAATGAATAATATCTAAAGGAAAAGAACTATAATAAGCAACTAGATTAAAGGACAAACGTTGAGACTTCCCTAACTTGCACGAAACACAATTATTACTAAAAGAATTTAGTAACATAGTAAGATTATGGTTCCTAAGACTTGACAAAACACGACTACCACTATGACCTAAACGACGATGCCAGATGTCTCCGGATTGACGTAGAGCAACAAATGCTTGAGGAGGAGAAGTCACAGACGAGGACGACAACGGATAAACATCGTCTTTACTGGAAGCTTGAAGGAGAGGTTGCCCCGTTACCTTGTCCTTCACACAAATAGAAGAATCATCAAAGTCAACTTTACAGTTATTATCTCTACATAACTTTTTAACATAAATCAAATTATAACGAAGTTGAGGAACATGAAATATAGACTGTAAGTGTAGAGGACGAGATGTAGAAGGCAACTGAGCATAGCCAATATTTTCAATGTTAAGCAATGTACCATTTCCTACCAAAACACGATCAGAGTCAGTGTGAGGGTTCTTTCGTATAAAATTACCTTCAGATGGAGTCATGTGAGCGGACGCGACAGTGTCAAAATACCAAGTAGCATCATTTTTTCACCAACAGACATAGCAGTAAAAGACTTAGGAAGATCATTAGTAACGAAAGCATGATTGAAAATATTTTGACATTGTAAGGCAGTATGACCAGGATGCCCACAAATTTGACAAATAATTGGTGAGGGTGAGGGACCTAAGATCCCACTGGATGGTGAGAATGTACTACCAGATTGTGAATTATAAGGAGTGAGAGAAGCACCACCAATACCTGACGGAGGCTGAGCAGTAGGACCATTGCGAGCAATATTATTGGGAGTAGACAGTTGTGAGGGACCTCGACCAGAGTAACCACAACCCCTTCCACCACGACCTCGACCTCGAAAAGACGAGGCTCTTCCTCGTCCACAATTACTTGAAGAAGGTGCTGCATTGCTGGACATATTCGAAAAATTTGATTGGTCATTCTAGGTAGCAAATGCATGATGAGAGATGATGGAATCGGATTCTTGAAAGCGTTGCAACCGTTGTTCATGCAAAAGGAGCTTAGAGCGCAAATCTTCAAGTGATACATGTCCAAGGAAGTGAGTGGGGATACCAACCAGCGTATCGTATTCTTTTCCTAATCCAAGAAGGACATGATCAATGAAATCCTGGGGGGGAAACTGGAGAATTTATGGCTGCAAGTGAATCAGCCAATTATTTTACCTCTCTCAAATATTGATCAATTGACATAGATATTGTCTTTTTCAAAGTAGTGAGTTGTCTCTTAAGTTCAATTGCTTTAGCTCGGCTAGCATCCATATATCTACGGTGTAAGGAAAGCCAAATATCACGTGAAGATGGTAAAAGATGGACGTCGACAAGAACTTCACGCGACAAGGTCGCAAAGATCCAAGAACGGATGCTTTGATCAATTCGAACCCACGAGTGGTAGCTTGGATTCGGTTGTTGCGATTTGCGAACCAGTAGTGTCGCAAAGAAGCGGGGGTGAAGCAGGGATAGAACCATCAACAAAACCAAGCAAATCATGAGATATGAGAAGGGAAGTGAACTGAGTACGCCATGTGAGATAATCTTCAACAGACTGTAACTTAATTGTTACCAGATTGGTGACATTAGGCGCTGCTAGTGCAGCAACAGAGTGAAAATTTGAGGCAGTAGTTGAGTCCAACGAACCAGCACATGGAAATATAGGTGGCGCAGTAGCAGCAGTAGGACATGGCAACAAGCTAGGAGATGAGGAATTGCTTGGTACTGATGAGGCCATGGAATAAAGTGACGACATAAGAGGAGGAGACGATAAAGGGGGAGGTGAGAAAGCAACAGTAAGGCTTGAGGATGGAATAATGTCATCAGGTTTGGATAGAGGAATAGAAGTATAGGGTGAAGATGATGCCATAGTAAAGAAAAATGGTGTGGGAAAGCACTGGATGTGTGGGAAAGGTTTAGAAGAAAATTCCAACAATGTTGATTATGGTGTATGATGAGTTCCGTGACCGCTTAGAAGAAGGAATTAGAGAGGATTTGCTAGCTAATCTGATACCATTCAAATGGCTCAACCAATAGAGAGGCAGTATTACTTATATTTATATGATATGGATACATACATAATGATAAGTATATCACCTACAAAGATGAGTATTAAGAGTTCGTCACATACATGGGATAATTACAAATATTAAATAAATTCTTAGAGTCCTAATAAGTTAGTCCATTATCTTACGTTTTTTTTCAGAAACTCCTTAATTTAGAGGATTAGGTAAGAATAGGTGACCTCCCTAAAAGTTGAATATAAATAAAATATTCCTTCAAATCAACAATTACCGGTCAATGAAATATTAAAATTAGTATATAATACGAAAAAGGAGCAGTTTGTCCTTGTATTAAAGATTCTTTTTTATGTCAAACATTTTTATGGAGAGTAAATGGAGTATATCAATATTATTAGGTGAAATAAGAAGATAAAGTTAATTGGCGGGGTCTAATTTGTTCTCGAGGTTACAATCAGAAGTAACAGGCAAACAGCACAAGAGGATGAAAAAGAGCAGGCCATCCATTAAGGTTCTTAAATATTTCCGCTATATTAGCTGCTAAAAATAGAACATCCAAAACCAAAGCTATAATGTACTCCCTCCGTTTACTTTTAGTTGTCAAATATTCTAAATATAATTTTTCATTTTTACTTGTCACTTTTCGCATATCAAGAGAAAAATAATTTATTTTTTCTGTTTAGTCCTTAGCATTAATTACTCATTCCAAATCATTTTTCAAATCCACTAAGACTATACACCAATTAATATGAATATCATGGTAAATTATATAATTTATTTATTATTTCTTAAGGGGTGTGTAAAGTCAATAATGAACAACTAAAAGTGAATAGAGTAACGTGTAGATACAGTATTTTAATATCCTCGTGTAATCTCCAACCAAGTGCAACTCACTCAACAAATTAGAAAGTACTTCGGGGTCGTCCTTGAGGAGATGAGGATGTCCCGCAACTTTAACAAATTAAATGATGTTAATTAGAAGAATGTCATTGATCTCCAAAGAAATGGAAAGAAGATACTAAAGTAGTTTAATCAGCTATAAACCCACGTCCATTCCGTCAAGTATCAACAGACAGAAAATAGATCACTGGTACAAAGAGATGCTCAAAACATCATTATTTGCCTTTTATCTTTTACTCAGCTTTCGTACCCTCATATATATGCCTTCTCTTGAAAGTGATTTTATGGCGTGCGTGTCAACTGACATTAGTTGTGTAAAATCAAAAGTCGTGAGACAAAAAAGAGGTCTCACACAACTAGTGTCATTAGTGTGAGGCACAAAATAAAATTTTTCTTCGCTTGAATACTTTTCAGTAAGAAGATGATCATGGGAGTCTTAGCTCATACATCAATTTACCAAACTAACCTCAAAATTTAACTTAGAGTTGAGATCAGATGAGAGTACTTAGCTTTACCAAATAAGGGATAGATCTATCTAGAGTTGGATCTAGGATTTGAATTTTATAGGTTCGGAATGCCATAGAACTTTAATGTTATATTGTAGTTGCTATATTTAGTAAATTTCTTAACAAATATACACGGTCCAACTAAAAGCTACTGGTTCCAATCTTACCTTGTATACATCTGCCCTGTATCTATCTTGACTAAGTCACATTTGTCAGATTTGTTGGAATAGATACCTCTATATAACAAGTATACAGTTTTTGCTAGACTTAGAAGGTAAACTTTTTGTTAGTATTTGCTACCATATAGAGGGCGGTCTTCTGTTTCGGAAAAGGATGGAACATTATAAAGACCGTTTCCTTTTGTAGGGGCCTTTGCAAGAGGCAGATGGATTGTAAATCCAGTGGACGCTTTTAAGACTATTTCAACTATACGTCTATATAATATTAATTCGAGTAGAAACCATCGGGAATATATACTTGTCCAGTATTCTAAAAATAGATTTTTACTGACTTTTAGTATATCAAGAGAAGACAATTTCTTTTTTCATGTTATACCCAACGTGTGTGTGTTTTATTTCTCGAAACTATTCTTGCTGGTTTTCAAGAAATGTACCCCTTCGGGGTTGCCCAGTTGATTTGGAGGGCGGTCATCCATACGGATGACCTGAGATCGATTCCCCCCTCAATGTCTTCTGGATTGAGTCTGTCGCACATGGCTTGCCTAGTGCGGTTTACATCCCTTGTGTGGTTTGGAGGCTATTACACATGGGGAGGTTTACCCAGTACGCACAAAATGATCACCCGAATGACAGAGGTTATGACAGAAATTGTAGCGACTGCGGTTTCCCCTCTTACAAAAAAAAAAAGAAAAAGAAAAAGAAGAGGAATACCAGAAACAACTTACCTATATTAGCTTGCATAATCCCTAGTAAATGGATTATTATCTGGATCTCTTGGGATCAGCATGTAGGAGGACAAAACAAAGAGCGGGTCGACTCCTTGAAGCTCCGAACTCAACACTAGAAACTTTAGGGACCTCCATACCTTTGCACATAGTAACTTGAAAGGCAATGAAATTGAGTTTATTATTATGCTCTTCCAATTAGCCATATCCTCAACGAGTGCAGAGAATGTTTCACGCCTCTGTTAATATTCATTCTGGTTCTGTGAGCCATTTATAAGGTTGGCGCAATAAGCTATATGTGTGCACAACTCCTCATATAGCGCTGGGCATGCAAAGGTGATGCTCATATTTGTAGCCTTTAATACAACTATGATTTCTCCCACCAAATTTGCATGACCCCCTAGTTTCCTTAATCCGTATGTTTTTTCCTAATTTTCGTGCCTAACTAAATTAAGGCGTTCTCGTAATCTTATTCCAATTAAATCCTAAAATCAAGTACTACTATTAGATTCAGACACATTATTAACGATTTCCCTCTCTATTTAATCTCAAATTTCTATTAATTGATTGGGTTGTTATATGTGTACTTTTCATACGGTTCTTGCGAAAAGAAATCAATACTTAAGATGTTCAATTAGCAATAGTTAATACTCCCTCCGGTCACTTTTACTTGGCATGTATACTAAAAATAGATGTTCACTTTTACTTGTCACTTTATGCATATCAAGAGAAGACAACAAATTTTTCCTGTTTTACCCACAATATTTATTACCATTTTAAATCATTTTCTCAAATCCAATAAAATATGCATCAATTAATATGGGTAACATGGTAAATTATGCACTTCATTTATTATTTTTTAAGGGGCGTGAAAAGTCAAAACGTGCCCAGTAAAAGTGACCGGAGGGAATACTTAATAGTATATTTTTTTAGTTTGAAATGTCAAATGTAAGAATTATTTGATGAAATCCAAACACCTTCATATGAGGAGTGTATAAAATATACACTAAATGAATAAGTGTGAAGTACTACTGTTACATTCATTCAGAAACATTTGAAACGATCTCTGTCCAGCTTTCAACAAAATTACATGTACTTCTTTGTTTCATTTTATATAATGGTGTTTGACGGTACAAGATGTTAAGAGAAGGAAAGAAAAAAGCAAGACTTTTGGCATATGCTTGGCAGCTTCTTCCTGAACAATGGTTCTTCAGTTAATATAATGTACTTATTCTCTCTTTTTAATATTTTTATGTATTCATTTTGCACATGGTGTTTGGGGTGGGTCCCAAGATGTGTCGTTCCATTTTGCTTAAGTTTGATACTGTCTAATTTATGTGCAGAGGAAAAAGTCTAACACCAGCTTCCATGCATAATTAAAAATAAAAATACAAGATAAATTCAAAAAATAAAAGATAACAAGGATCGTCATTCTGCTCCGTTAGGTAGTGTCTCTTCTGAAAAATGGAGTATAGACTTTCAAAGAATGCACCAATTATGCGTGCAGAAGAAGAATTGCCGCAAAAATTGTGCCGATCAACCAATGAAGTGGTTTACTTCTGCTCGAGTGAGAATTATTGTTGTTCTCGTTGTTGCCATCTTGTGATGTTCCTGTAGTTGTTGCTTGCGCTGGTGGTGGGGGTGATAACATTGGTGCCTCGCATTTGTGCGATGTACCACTTGTCTGCTTATCAAAGAAAAATCAAAATAGTTTCATGGGAAATTAGATAAGAATAATGCAATGAAGCAAATAACAATAAAGATAATCCAATTCTGGGACTGTGAAATAGAATGAACAAAGTAAAGCAATGGTTGATTACAGTGGTATACAAGAATATGAAAAAGGTAATACCCACACTATTAGTTCTGGTAGCAGCATCAAGACAATCAGGTGTATGTTTCTTTTTCAATTTAGATTATTAACACGAGGCAAAATATAAAATAACAACTTTTATATCCACTTATTGTCAAATTCAAAGTTGTTCTTGGCCTAAATGGTCAAAAGTATTCCCTTCTCTTGAATTGTTCCAATGAGAACAGCCTCTGGAATCACTCACTTGAAGCCAGTAGATGCAGGCACTCTTCACATTGCAAATAGTGTTTTCTTAGAATTTGCATCTTAGCTGAATTAACTTGTGCTGTTTCTAAGTTGAAAGGCAGTAAAGTATCAAGAACGCTCAAGTAGAGCAGGAAAAAAAAAAAACTCAATCCGGCTAGAATGATTTTCTAATAGTCTCAAATGTGGTGTTATGTTCATTGTAGCATTTAAAGTCAAAGCTAGCAAGCAAACCTTGCAATAGGCAATACTGCTACAATTACAAGCCAATTGGCCATTTGCTTCATCTACAGCTTCTGGAGCTCCACCACCATCACTTTTCTGCATCAGTAAGCAAAAATGTGTAGTGTTCTTACGTTTAATAATAGATAATTAATCAAAAGAACATGACTGTGAAGACTATACCTGATAAAAATCAACAGCAATAAAATTTGGCCACCTTTTGCCAGCTGCTTCAAAGCAAGTTTTCGTCATATTAACTAGTAGAGCAGAATTATCCACACAAACTGCTGTTATGTTGGGATTGTCAGGAAAATAATTCTGCAGAACCAAAGAGATTGACGATGTACTCATAGGAGATGATTCAGAACGACTTGGACAAGAACCAACTTTCATCCCACCATTACCATCTGCAAAAGATGCGGTTAACATATCAAGTCGCCAATAGTTTGAGCAACGATTTCTGAATGATCGCAAATGTGGGGAATATGAACTAGTGAAGCTACAAATGAATAAAAGTTTATCCAAGGACCAACCTATACCATTATGAAACCAAAACTTACACTACAATTCAACGTAACAAGAACTCGTCGGAACTGCTAAGTAAATCTCGGATGCAAGAATATCGACGTTCTTAAAGTACGTCAAGCAGTAACATAAGTATCAAATTAAGCAAAGGCGGCTATAACTCACATTGGTTTTCTACAACGTATCTCCACTCGTAAGCAATGCCCTCAGAAGCCTCCTTGGATGATTTAGAGGTGAAGACTACGAGACGTTGATTCTGCTTGACCATGTCATCCACTGTCGGCCAATCTTCTCCTTTTTTGGGCATACGAGACACTGGAAACCAGTACTTATTAAGACCAGAGGCATTAAAAACCTTGCTCAAGCCTTTTGGGGACGAGACATAGTCTTCAATGAAGATTGTGACAACCTCTGATGGATTTTGTTCGAGAAACACTTGAATTTCTTTCAGCGAATTAATTGCAGGTTGCTGAAACGATCCAGAGATGAACTCACATTAATCAGCCATAACAAGTACGATAGTTGAGTGAATCCAGTAATCAAGGATAACTAGGATGAGTTGGATAACTTACAAATGCTGTTACATTGTAACACTTTCCACCAAATGAGTGACAAAGCCAGATATCATCGTTGAAGTCATACATATCAAGCATAAGTCCTCGAACACCATTCTGCAGACATTAAAATTATTTTCTTTAGCAAAATTTTCCTATTAAGAACTTTTGGACTTGAGAATGATTCCACTGCTTAAAATATTGTGAATATTGATGTGATAAGCCATTAACTCTCTGAATTGGTCATAACATATTTACTGAAAGCATGTTCTAAAGTACTTTTTTACTGGAGTAGTTCTCAGATTAGTTGAATCACACAGCTATGATTTTGCGAAAAGCGAATCAATTTATGCCTTGCAAGATCTTACATAGAAAAAGTGGGGAATAAAGATAGCAACTTGATCCCATAATTGAGATATTAGGTTGAATTAAATAAGGTAAAGTGGACTCCACAGATCACCTATTAGGATATTTCCATGTGGACAATGTTGATGAGATGGTTAGGTGAAAGCACATGCTAATTTTCTAAGCAAAGTAAAACAAGAGTTTTTGTAATTATATATTGCCACCCAATTCTGACTTTTCTTCTCTCTCCTAAAAGAGTTATCTTTCAGAATAAGGCATTCCATCTTTTTGCTTTAGACTGTCAATTCTTTTTCTCATTGAGTAACAATGAGCATTGCTCCTGCTCTGCCTAGAGGGGCAAAATTTGTTCTTCTTCCTCTCATTGGGTATCTTTCTTTTTTCCTTTGAATTATCTATTTTGCCTACTGAAAGAAGGAAAAAAAAAGGCAAAAGTAGTGTGTACTTGCATTTTGAAGTTGACCAAATAGCCCTTGTGGTTATTTTGTCATTGTAGGACAAAGGCAGTAGACAAAGAATGTATACTATCCGAGGTAAATATTCAGCTTATTACTGAAAAAATAGAGCACATCACCTTAAGCTGACTAGTAATGGAATCTTCCTGATTGGTGGGAGCAAGAATACTAGACCCGGTTGCAGATTTTGACCCGGACAATGCAAACGAGTTGTGGGTCGTCAGCCACGAATACTTGTTAAATGGCAAACCTTTTACCTTTCAACCACAAAAATCAAAATAAAATTTGAATATACCATTAATGTGGATACAAATAAGAAAGTGAACAATTGGAGTTAAGAATTCACCTTGGTGGTGGGAATAGTGGGTTGAATGCGAGTACATCTGGAGCGGGTGTTGCCATTAGCAGGACAAGTGGAGCAGACTAGACCTTCATCACAATTACTGCTGCTACAAGTTTCTCCAATCTGTTTAAATCAAAGTCCAAACAAAGAACAGAAATTCAATAACAGATTCACTTTCATGAAATATATTATTCAGTGCGATCTTAACTGGGTTTAAAATATTAATTAATGTATAAGAATTAAATAATGAATACATACCGTAAGGCAAGAAGAATGGTGGAATAAGAAAGAAACAGCGATATAGAGAAGTAGAAGCTTGATGGGGTAACGGATGATCTCCTGAAAGTGAGAAGAGAAAAACAAATACGATAGATAATAACGAGAATTTGGGTTAATTAGTAATCGGAATTGAGATTAAGAGATTACATACCTGCATAATTTAGGCTCTGTGATTGTGAAGAAGAAAGAAAGGAGGGAGAAGGGGTTGATAACTCCTCCAAATTCCCTGATTCAGTTTTTATAAACGGTTTCTCTCTGTGTCGGATTGTACTCTTGTTTTAGGAAAATAACGTTTGTTTTATTAGGAAGAGGAAATCTCTGTTTTCCAACTGCCACCTGCCAAGAATAATCTCCTTCACTTTGTATTTATGTATCCCATTTTAGGAAGTACACCAATGTTTTGAGCAAATTTACTTTGTACTTCTCTAGTTTCCTTTTACTTTTCTTTCGTCTCTCCCTT